GTCAGTTCCCCCGCCTCTGCCCACTGCCCGGGTTGACCTGGCTTTTCCTCCTGTAGCAGCAGGCAAGAACTACTGCATGGCGGGAATTCTGCAAAAACAGTATGGGGTCCTAACAGGAGGGGGACGAATGCTAGACACATACCCCCGACGCAGAAATAAGAACAAGAAGGAAAAAGATAGCTGCCCACCCCAGGTGCTTTCTAAGGCTCTGGAGCTGGACTGCCCAGGTTTAAATCCTGCAGCCGCCTCTTACTGGCCACTTGATCTCTTCCTGTGCCGCTGTTTACTGATCTCTGAAATGGGGAAGAAACAGTCCCTATCTCTTAGGGTTGCTGTGAGGACTGAACACTTGGAATGGAGTAAGCTCAGTGTTTGCTATTGTGCAGGTCTCTCTCCTCTCTCTCCGGCCCCTCTCCCTCCCCACATACATGTTTAATCCCATTTCTGTCATTTCCTTTAGCCTGTTTCCCATGATACCTTGATCCTGCCCACCACAGCCTTGCCCGCTGTTTTTCTTTTTTTCCTAGGCCAGAGCTGACCCAGGGATGCTCTGCCCACTGGCCTTCTTGATAGACATCTGTAAAGGGAACAGGCCTAGCGGGCAGGTGGGGCTTCCAGCGTTCAGGTCCCGCTTATGGGCGCTCACACAGGCTTTTCATTCTGCTGGTGTTTTGCCTGTTCATCTCACACTCGAGCCTGTCAGCATTTACTGTGCCTGTTAACTTTCAGTGGGGACATTTATTAGGCAAGGATAATGTATTCCCTTAAATACTTCTTTTCCTTCTACTTATTCCAGCCTTTAACTGAGAGGAAGCAATTGCTTCAATTCTCTTCCCCAAGCAGGTGGAGCATGTTTGCCTCCCCCGCCCCAGGTCCCTCTTGCCTCTGCTGCCCTGTGACATCTCTCACAAATGCCCATGCTGTCTCCCGTGACTCGCTGGGAGTGAAATAATTACATAATTTTAGGAGTTTAATAGAATTGTTTTCCTAAGAAGACACTCAGGTGTCCTCCCAAGCCGTAAGCATCTCCCTTTTTCATCCTGGGGTCCTGGGTGGCATAGGGGACCCTCTTGATTACAGTCTTCTGTGCCATCGGCTGGGTAGAGCCATGGTGTGGTCTTTGCCTTGAGAGCGGCAGGTAGACCTCTTCGTTCTGCTGAACTGGGGACAAGGAGGGTAGCAAACTGCAGAACTATTTTAAGGTTCCAAATGGATTCTCGGGAATCTGTGTTCTTGTCAATTTAGATTGTGAGTAAAGAAACTCTTTGTTCTCTTAGAAGTGAAATGTTGACTGCTGTTTAGTTTTATTTTCCTTTATGGTAATTAGCCCCTCACTAATCCATCCTCTGTGGCAATACCATATTTATATATTAGAATCTTAACTTTCTTCTCTGGGTATCTTTGGTTATGTTTTACAATGGTGGTGATTGTGGAGGCCTTGGTGATTGTAAAACAGGTAACTCATTCACAAAGATTAAAAAATCTTAAAGGTTTATCTTGCATTAGATTTTCCCTCCACTCCTGTGCCCCCAGCCCCCAGCCACCTGGTTCCTTTCCCCGTGGACACTCACTGTGTTAGTATTTTGCATTTCCTTCCTGATTTATGTTATGCACATATGAATATATGTTATTTCCCCCTTTTAAACAGATGGTAGCGTACTGTGTATGCACAGTGTTCTGCGCCTTTTTCACTCAGCAGTGCATCTTAGAGATCTGTACATATAAATATATTAAGAGGTGTCTGATTCTTTTTTATAGCTGCAGAATATTTCTTCATATGGAAGCACCCAGATTTGCTTAACTGCTTTCCCATCGATGGTGATTTAAGCTTCCTCATGGTTTCTGAGATGAAGGCCATGGATAAAAATAAACAAGTAGAATTCATACTGACCAGATGCAGCTTAGACAAAGTCAAGCGATTGAGCATGGTCCTCTGTTGTTTGTTGGGGATTTTTCTATAAAATGGTGAAGGACATTGCAGTGGTCTTCAGTGGAACATTCAGCTTTGCATATGTACTTCTGGCAGTCCTCAAATCAGGAGAATCACCGGACACATTATTTTAATGGATTATTTTGCATGCTATTGAGTCTCCCATCTTGGAAAATTAGTTTGTTTTAAAAGATAGTTGTCTGAGTCCAATCAGATGAATGGAGATTCATAAGCTTGGTAAAGGGAAATGAAGACTTGGTACCTATTATTTAGAATGGGATTTGTTCAGGGTCAGGAACACTTACCCGGGGTGATAAATAACTGACCTTTTCATCAGTTCTCATTTAATTGATGCCATAATGGGATATATTTGGGGTGGGAGAACGCAGAACTGTAACTTTCTTGAGGGAAAGGTAGCCAACACATCTGACCTCATAAATTCTTGTTTAATTGAATGAGAAACATGATCAAAGGATTATAAAGTATGGTAAAGACGGCTCTAGCAATATATTAATAATGTCTGCATTGTAGTGAAGTGTATATATTAAAGCCTTAACATGATGTGATGTTTGAACTAGCAGAACATTAGAAGATGAAAGTCACAATTTAGGAAGGAATAAGCTGTAAAGTTACTTTTATGCTTCCTTTTGAAGTACTGCTTTTAATGACCTTGAAAATCTTATTTGTAGCTAAACTTAAATCTGGAAATATAAATATATTTAGTAAATGAATCTAACCTGTTAGCAAGATTGCTGAGTAGCTAAGAAACAAATGCTCTTTGGGTCTGCAGAGGAGGTAATGAGCATGTGTAACGGAAAGCGGTCCGGGGACCCGCTTTGTTGGACTCTGAAGAATCAGTCCCACACCCTTCGGGACAGGCATAGGGACTTCCACATTTGATACCTCTGGAGAGAGTTTCTTTACCTTTTGTCTGTTTTGAACATATTCTTTCTTGTTTGATTCCTTTAGCAGTTAGGTTAAGTATTGGTCAAGTCTTATAATATTAGAAACAATGTCTATTTATTCAACCTTATTTAAAAATAAGCCCTATGAGCCTCGTAGCATTCCTTTATCTTCTGTATCCTTTAAATTATAGGGGAATGAAACATTTAAAAAGTTAAGACTGACAATGGTGATAATTGATTTCTTTGAGAACCAATCAAAAGTTCCAAATGATGAATGGTGATGATAGTACGTACGTATAAGCACCCACTGTCCATGTTCAGGGCACCTGATATGCACAAATATGTTGGCTCAACTCTAAATTGGGAGCCCACATTTAGCAATGAACATACTCCATCTTCACCATGTCTACTTGATGATGAAAAGTCAGAGCCATTGGAGCTCGCACCAGATTTAGGACTATTTTGTGTTTGGTTGTTCGTATTTAACTTCATGAAGTTACAGCTTTGGTGGGGAGGAAGGATGTGATTCAGAATTCTTCAGATGTGGTGAGATGACATGGATGGGGCTTACTATGTTATTCCCTCCCTCCCTCCCTCCCTCCCTCCCTCCGTCCCTCTCTCCTTCCTTCCTTCCTTCATCTTGCTCTGCCACTTAGGTTGGTGTGCAATGGTGCAATCACTGCTCTCTGTAACCTTGACCTCCCAGACTTGAGTGATCCTCCCACCTCAGCCTCCCAAGTGGCTGGGACTACAGTCGCCTGCTACCACGCCAGGCTAATTTTGTATTTTTTGTAGAGACAAAGCTTCTTCATGTTAGCCAGGCTGGTCTCAAACTCCTGGACTCAAGCAATACTCCTGCCTCAGCCTCCTGAGTACTGGTGCCTGCCACCACACCAGGCTAATTTTGTATTTTTTTGTAGAGGTGAGGTCTTGCCATGTTACCCAGGCTGATCTTGAACCCCTGGACTCAAGCAATTTGCTCGCCTTGGCCTCCCAAAGTACTGGGATTACAGTCATGAGCCACCACGCCTGGCCACTGTGTTTTTTTCATCTTGGTTCTCTGTGAGGAAACCAAAGCAGAACTGGATTAAGGGGTCAGAGTCCATGGGTCACCATTTATTAATGGAGCTCTTATCTCTTGATTCCTGGTTCAAAGTTTTTTTTTTTTTTTCTTAAGTATTGATTTGGTGTCGAATTTTCTTCTTTTAACTATTTCAAAATTTATTCTCTCCATAGCCAGAGCTCCTTGAAACTTTTGCTGCTGTTAAATCCAGACTCCTTGTCTTTTTCAGAATTTCTTGGCTGTGAAGCCAGGTCATCATAAGGCATGACTGTAATGATGAAACAGGATGTGGTAGTAGTCATCAGATCCCACTTTTTAGTGGGAGCTTTTTAGAGATTGCTATGTAAATGACTTTTCCATGCCATGGCCAAAGTCTACAGGCCACAAACTGAGTCCAAAACAAAGTGATTCCAAACTGATACGTTGACAAGTTTCCTGGAGAAAGGACCTTGTCCATGTGCACTGCTCATAAACCTTGTTTTTGAGTTTTACTGGTTCCGTTTAGCTGTGATGCTTGACTTTCTTTCATTGAAGATTGTCTTTGCTTGGTGTTGGGTGAAGCACATCATGAAGGCTTAGATGTGGGCCCTGCAGTTCCACCTCAAGCTCCAGCACATTCCCTTAACCTCAGAGCTGTTCTTAGGGAAGGGAGATGCTCGTTCTCTCAGCAAATCCTGCTCTGATGCTCATCTTTCCCTACAGCCCTTCTTCCTCTTCTATTTTTAAATTTTTTAATTGCATTTTAGGTTTGGGGGTACATGTGAAGAACGTGCAAGGTTGTTGTGTAGGTACACACATGGCAGTGTGATTTGCTGCCTCCCTCTTTTATTTTTAGGGTGGAGTATCTCTATTTTTCCAAACCCTCACTTTATCTGAACCCCTTTTATTCCTGCCCTGTTCTACCTCAAGCGTTTGTATCTGTGGTAAGACTAAAGACTCTTGTAAAGTCACACCTTCCATTCAGCTGCTGCCTATTTTGTTTTTGTTTTTTAACGTGTGAAGGAATGTTTTTCTCAATCTTAGGGATGCCCTATTTTTGTTGTTCTGTTTCTTTGTTGGTAAGACCTGTTTGTACCACTTGTCTCAACTTCTTCACATGCAGGGCTGCAGACCCCTGTTCCAGAGGTTATTGTTGATGTGGAATCCATGGACATCTTCCCCGTGGGCTGGTGCGAAGCCAATTCTTATCCTTTGACTACACCACACAAAGCAGTCTGTAAGTGGTTCCCGGTTGAGGGGGGTGGTGGATAACATCGGTGATCTTCGTGAATCCATCGGCAGCTTTGTAAAGAAATTATAACCAAGTTCTAAAGCACAAATAAGATTTTTGATTTTCACTGAGAAGCCATGTTTTTGTTGTCTCAATCTTTAAGCGTCTGCATGAGATGATGTCACAGGTTGACAGACTAACAGTGAGGGACAGTTGAAGGTCACAGAGAGGCAGAGGAAAAAATATCTGAAATCGTCACTCTCAGTTTTTTTATACAGTTCATTGTTTTGATGTGAAAAAATTTGTTACATACTATATTATTATCATTTCTTTGAAAGATGTGAGTTTTCTCATATAACTTCTACCAGCAGAATACCAGGTAGCATGGTGCCTTATTCCTATAATCTTAGTACTTTGGGAGGCCAAGGCAGGAGGATGCTTGAGCCCATGATTTTGAGGCCAACCTGGGCAGCATAGTGAGACACCATCTACACATAAAAAAAGAAGTCCATATAGAAGTAGATTAGTCGAGTAGGGTGGCACATGTCTCTGGCCACTCTGGAGGCTAAGGTGGGAGGATTGCTTGAGCCTAGGGGGTCAATGGTGCAATGAGCCAAGAGTGCAACCAAGCACCAGTGCACTCTAGCCTGGGTGACAGAGTGAGACTCCATCTCAAAAAATAAATAAAACAAACACCTAACCTACTCTTAGCACTAACTAATCTCTGTTATTTCAACTGTACTTTGTAAAGTATATTAACACACATCTCTTTGGTTACAGAAATACCAAATAAAACCAATATTAACAGTTAAACAACCCAGCAGTACACGCCCATTCATACACATGTGCACACACTCACATGCACATTTAAATACAGGCAACAGTGGTTTTTTTTGGCTCATTTGTTTTGTTTTTGGGACAGAATTTCACTCTTATTGCCAGGCTGGAGTGCAGTGGTGCAATCTTGGCCCACTGCAACCTCCACCTCCCAGGTTCAAGGGATTCTCCTGCCTCAGCCTCCTAAGTAGCTGAGATTACAGGCACCCACCACCATGCCAGGATAATTTTATATTTTTAGTAGAGACGGGGTTTCCCTATGTTGGTCAGGCTGGTCTCGAGCTCCTGACCTCAAGTGATCCACCTGCCTCGGCCTTCCAAAGTGCTGGGATTACAGGTGTGAGCCACCAAGCCCCGCCAACAGTGTGTTTTAACATACATTATTATAGGTCATTATCACAAAATGGGACCATGTAAAAATCTTCTAACCTAATAAATCATTGCATTTATTATTCTATCCTAATGTGTATCAGAAGTGTTATTTAAAATGATGAGTCCTTAAAGATAATAGGTTTCAACTGTTAAAGAGATTCTATCTCTATCATCTTCTTTATGGAATATAGGTGCCAGCTTTCCTCCTTCCTAACAGCCTGTTCTGCGGTCACTTCTGTAGACTCTCACAACATTGCTGGAAACACCCCAGTTCCATTGCATAGTTGACTTGAAGTTCCTTGATGACAACAGAGTTTCAGGGCTCCTCTAGCTAGCATTATTAAGAGCAGCAGAGGACATTATGTGTGTGAAACAAGTAGGTAGTTCAGATTAGACACAGACCTGGATGCTACGGGATTCTCCTTTTCCTAAACCATCCTACTCAATGTCTGATCCAGTTTATAGTAATAGTTTCCCCTTATTTAAAAATATGCTAAAACATTGATCATATAATCATCATTTTAACCTCAGGGACATTATTTTCCCCTGTCACTTAAAATGATGCAGATTCTGGCCAGGTGTGGTGGCTCACGCCTGTAATCCCAGCACTTTGGGAGGCCAAGGCGGGTGGATCACCTGAGGTCAGGAGCTCAAAACCAGCCTGGCCAACATGACGCAACCCCATCTCTACTAAAAATATAAAAAATCAACCAGGCACGGTGGTGGATGTCTGTAATTGTAGCTGCTTGGAAGGCTGAGGTACAAGAGTTGCTTGAACCCGGGAGGCGGAGGTTGCAGTGAACTGAGATTGCACCACTGCACTCCAGCCTGGACAACAGACCCATACTCCACTCTGTCTAAAAAAAGAAGTGCTTCAGATTCTGACCATGCCCAGCCAGCATGGCCAATAGGCTCTCCCTGAATTTTGTCCCGCGATTGGAGCTGCAATCCCCTTTGTCCTTGTTGTCCCTCAAGGAGAACCTGGTGTCCTGAATCCTCTTCCTCCCCACTTCACATGGATATGGGAGGCTGCAAGTACTTTGGATTTTTCTGGAGCACAGTCACATACAGGTTAAGGTTATCCGAGCCAAACACCATAAAGTTACCTGGTTCTTCAGGATTTGGGATCCGGGTCTGTTGTGCTTAGCTTTTTCCCAGGGGGTCAGGCATCCCCATCGCATTAACAAAGACCAAAGGAGACAAGTATTCCAAACTCACTTTGCACCTGAGAGGTCCTAAGTGTGGACCTTTTTGTAGTAATAACTGGAATTGAATATTAGATAGTCAAGAGTAGGCGAGATTTTATGGAGTATTTCTCTTATTTATTTTCGCTTGCATTCCTTGCACATACATTTTGCTTTAAAGAGGCAAACTCCATCTCCAAACCTGCCAGACTCTAGCAGCTTTAGAAGTTTTGTTGGAATTAATTTATGCTTATGTTGGAAGATGTAGGATTATCCGAGCCAAAGTTAGTAGATGCCAGAAGCTTTCGTCTATTTTTGTTAAGGTGATCTGAATCAGTTATAAATATAAACTGGAAATGTTCTTATCCACAGAAATCACTATTCGTTCATGTATGTCAATATTTGACCAGACATATTTGCGAGCTACTGATTCTCCTTTTGTGAATAACATGTTTTAGTTTAAATGCATACGTCTGACAGCACTTTGGGAGTGTGTTGTGATAGTAACATGATTTGCCTCATCACAACTCTTCTTGGGGAAAAAAATCATTCTGGATAACTGCTTGCAACAATTGATCTGAATGTGTGTGCTTATGTGAGGTACAACAGGTGTACGCTTTTGCATTCTTAAGTGCACATTTAAAAATAAAGTAGCTAGCGTCATGATAGGATTAAATGAACTAATTTCTACTAAGGTCTCACATCTGGTGAGTTAACGTCTATGCTGTGCTAGAAGAAACATAGGGAATTGTGGCAGGAGTGACGTAACTTTTCGGCATTTAAGTTACTGCTTTAAAACGGGCGCCTTTTTATTTTATAACCTGTTTTTAAAAATGGACTTGCTCCACTAACAAAGCTGATTTTCTTTTTTCCCATTTGCCTTTTTTTACAGCACAAAAGAAGAGAAAGATTGCAGTTGTGCAACCAGAGAAACAGTATGTGCTTCCCCGACCCACCAGACTGTACTGTGTACTGATAAACTGTAGCGTTTTTATGGAGGATGGGAAACATGGCTGTTTTTATTGGAGTTAGCTAGCAAATAGCACACTAGTAGAGGTAGCAGTAAAACATAGTGGCTGTCGTTTGTTGTGTACCTGTTATGTGCAAGACACAGTGCCTGCCCCCCAAGGCACTCACAGTCCAGATTCCTGTGGTTCGCTTTTTATTCCACCTCGGCATACCTAGGGAGCACCCCATACCTACACACAGAGTAATGGCTGTCTGTGCCTGCAATTCTCGGCGTCCACAGGGGCCCCACGTGGCAGGTGCAGTTTCAACTCGCAACCCCTCACCATACTTGGAACGCTGCTTCTTACTCACCTCTCCTGGAGTGGCTGGGCCTGGGAGGCAAAAAACTTCAGTTCAACCCCAGCTCTGCTGAGTGAACTTGAGCAAGTCACTTTAGTTCTCTGCCTCTCAGTGCCCTGGTTTATAAAATATAATTGGGGAGTTTTTATGAAGATTAAATTAGATTCCATTTGAAAAAGCTCTAGGCCTTAAGTTGTAGGCTGAGCAAATCCAGATTGTACTCCATCACTCATTTCATTTGTGATTTTACGTGGAAAGAGGGTGTTAGCAAAATGTGTCCGGGAAGGCAGTGTGTTTTTGAAAAGTTGTGACTTGCTAGTAACATTTCTAGATATTGAAAAATATTTAAAATATGATAAAATGTACATTCCATGCCAAGTGATTCTTTCTTAAGTAAATAAAAATATATTGATGGAAAGACAACTGAAAAAAGCATTTTTCATATGCAGTAGTTGAGTTTAAATAAAATGAAATTGAACTGTAACTGCACCATTTGAATGAGAATAACAGTTCTGTAGGTGTTTTTGTGGGTTCGCTTCTAAATGCAGTGTACGCGGCTCGTAACCAGGCTCCATGTTATCCACCTGATGTTGAAGTAGAGAGATTTCATGACACACCTGTGACTAAATCCAAACTTGAATCCATCACTCCTAACTGTACAGCCCATGGATTAATGGTTCTCACCCTTCCCATGCATCAGTCACTTAGGGAGCTTGGAGCACACAGATTGCTGGGTCCCATTCTCAACATCTCTGATTCAGAATGTCTGAGATGGGGCCCGAGAATCTGCATTTCTGATGAGTTTACAGGTGATGCCATTGCTGTGGGTTTGGGGGACGCCTCTTGGAGAACCACTCCAGAGTTGACCTTGCTAAGATCTCTTATAAAGCTTGACTTTGAGCTGAAGGAGCTTTTCATCCGTGTGGTTTCTATGCCACCAACCTAGACACCCCTGTGAAACCTAGTTCACCTCTTTTCCCCTAAGGCTGCATTTTAAAACGCACACTGATTCAGCAACATTTTTACTGAACTATAACAGAGCTCTGTCGTGGAATAAGCCTACTTCACATGTTAAGATTCGCCGGTTTATAGATTTTCTTTTAAGGTCTTATATTTAGTGTGGCCATGACTCAAACCTGCCCCGAGGTCAGAAATCAAAGGTTCGTGGAAAGTGGTTTTCAATTAGACATGGAAGTAGAAAAGTCTGACTTTAATTAAATGTAACATAATGTGTCTTCATGTCTAAAGTATAATGGAAGACAATATTACAATTCCTTAGCAAGAGACAAGGCCAGAAGCACACTGGGAGAAACTCATTGATCAGTGCCAGCCGCTTGGGGGCAGATGTCTCATGGGCTTTTTAGGGTCAACCAAAGAATTGGAGAATAACTTTTCTGAAATGCTGTTTTCGCCTGGTCTTACTGGGACTGCTCCCATATACACGTTCTATTTTCTGGTCTTCTTATCTAAGATTTCTAGAAGAGTCATTTTAAATTGTGATAAGACTTTGGAATGTAGCCGTTCCTTCTAGAGCTTGTGGTCCCTGATAGTTCTGTTTTCTCTGTTGACAGATCACCGGCCGCAGTGCCTGTTAAGAAAATACCTCATGACCTTTGTTTATTCCCTCACCTGGACACCACAGGTAATCAGTCCCATTTAGGGGTCTGCGTGCTTTCCCTCTTTGCAGCCAGGAGCAGAGACATATATATGTTTCTAGGTCGATATGAATATATCTCCACGTTGAGCCTATTCTGTTTTTCCCCATTGCCACTCATGAGCAGATACGTACTTTTTAAAAAGAAAAATTTCTGAGCTAATTTCTCTGTGGCTTTTCTTTTCTGCTTCGTGACCAGTAGCTCTAGACAGCTCTAGCATACAGGAGGAGGGTTTATGTGTGACTTGCAAATTAGGAGCCAAATAAGGGCTGCGTGTCATGGGGGAAAGGGAAGAGTTGAGAGTATCATCTCATTGGGCAGTTTGGTTTTTTTTTTTTAATATTTTATTATGGTTCCATTTGCATTTTTACACTTGCTATTAGGATTTAAGTTACCCCTGGCTTTTGAATTGTTCCTTAAAACCCTCTGTTTGAAGAGCCGGTTGTGAACAGTATATGTTTTTTAATGTGTAAAGCCTTATATCTTACAATAGCCTTTGAAAATACATTTGTGAGCTACCCTCTGGCCATGAAGTCTGGTAATAGACATGTTTGTACGTTGTCATACTTGATTAAAAAGTCTATTCTCTAAGCCAAAATGAAACTTGCTCTGAATTCCAGGATTAAAACCAACATGTCTTGGACGAATCCTACTAGTAGATTATCTTGGTAGTAAAGAGCAGTTCGATGAGTAAATTTAACTAAAATTTTATTTTTCTACAGGTCTGGTAATCTAAAGGCAAAGTAATCCTACCAAAAATTTCCATGTAAATAATGAAGCCCTGGACTTCATTATTTTGCTTGTTGTTTATAATTCAAACTGAATGGTTTTAAAAGAACCATGCCAGCTACCGTTTCATAGTCTATAATTGTAATATTACTTCTTTTCTATCCAGAAGAATAACATTTCTGCCTCCTACCTCTGCTGGTTCTTAGTTGAAGTCTTTATGAGAACAAGTCTACCTAGAGTGTTAAATTACCATCCCAAATTGACAGCAGTGGTTTTGCAGAAGTTCCGCTGTGGGTGTTGCTTAGCCTGGAGCTTGGGTAGAGTCAGGGTGGGGTGGTGAGTCCCTTAGTCAAAAGTGAAACCTCATTCTACATTTATAGATATTAAGGAGTGTCAGGCCCAGAATGGTGGCTCACGCCTGTAATTCCAGCACTTTGGAAGGCTAAAGCAGGCAGATTGCATGAGCTCAAGAGTCCAAGCCCAGCCTGGCCAACATGGTGAGACCTTGTCTCTATTAAAAATATAAAAAGTAGCCAGCCATGGTGGTGTGCACCTGTAATCCCAGCTACTCGGGAGGCTGAGGCAGGAGAATCACTTGAAACTACAAGGTGGAGGTTGCAGTGAGCTGAGATTGTGCCACTACATTCCAGCCTGGGCAACAAAATGAGACCCTATCTCAAAAACAAAAGAAAAAAAAGTTTCTTTTTTTTTTGAGATAGAGGTTTCTTGCTCTTTTCACCCAGGCTGGAGGGCATTGATGTGATCTCAGCTCACTGTAACCACCACCCAGGTTCAAGCAATTCTTCTGTCTCAGCCTCCCAAGTAGCTGGGATTACAGGTGCGTGCCACCATGCCCAGCTAATTTTTGTATTTTTAGTAGAGATGAGATCTCACCATGTTGGCCAGGCTGGTCTTGAACTCCTGACTTCAGGTGATCCACCTACCTTGACCTCCCGAGGTATGAGCCACCCCGCCCGGCCAGAAAATAAATTTTAGATTGAGATCTTATCATTTAATGATTCTGCTTGTCCATGGCATTTTGAGACAGCAAGATCAGCAGCCTTCCCTGTTCCCTTTCTGAGCTGAAAGAAGAATATGGGTAATGTAAACTTAAGCTGCAGTGAGGTCTCCTTCAGCTTCATTAGATTGGCAGAATGGAGGAGCACTGTCGGAACCAGTGCTGGCGTGGATATAGGACTACAGGAGCTCTTCCCTGGTGCTAATGAACGTGTCAGTGGGGTAGTCACTGTGGAGAACAGCTTGGCCATGTCTAGTAAAACTGAAGATACAGATACACAGACCTGTGGCCTAGCCGGTCCACTCCTGTTACACACCTGAAAGACTCTCTTGCCCACAGGCAGAAGATTTTCACAGTTGTATTCATGAAAGCACTGTTGACAATCCTGAAAAAGTAGAAACAACTAAATATCCATCAGTAAGAGGCTAAACACCTAAATGACGATATGTTAATTCAATAGAATCAAATGAAGAAGCAAAAAAATGAATGGGCCAGGTGTGGTGGCTCACGCCTGTAATCCCAGCTCTTTGGGAGGCCAAGGTGGGTGGATCACAAGGCCTAGAGATTGAGATCTTCCTGGCCAATATGGTGAAACCCCATATGTACTAAAAATACAAAAAAATAATTAGCTGGACTTGGTGACACGCACCTGTAGTCCCAGCTACTCGGGAGGCTGAGAGGAGAATCACTTGAACTAGGAGCCAGAGATTGCAGTGAGCCGAGACTGCACCACTGCACTCCAGCCTGGCGACAGAGCGAGGCTCTGTCTCAAAAACAAAACAAAACAAAAAAAAGAATGAACTTTTTAGATCCACATCTACCAACTTGGATATATCTCAGAAACTTATTGTTAAGCAAACAAATGAAATCTTGCGGGAAATCATTTGTGGAATATGTTTTAAAATATCATATATTGCTTGTAGGCACACGCATGCTTCTCTGTGTGTGGTTGACATGCTTGTGGATGATGAACACTAGATTCAGGGTCATGGTCACCTCTGGAAGTACAGGTTGGGGGTGTCACTAGGGTGAGTGACATGGGATTTCTCTGTGTAGTTGGTGTTTTTGACCTTGAACTACACAGTGGCTCTGGAGTGGTCATCGTCTTGGCCTTTGTGTCTTTTCATGTGTCTTGAATATTGCATCATAAACAGAAATATTTGTTTATATGGTGAAAAAAATAATCCGAATTTTTAAGGTATCCTTAAGAATATAAAATGTCCTGCCAGGCACAGTGGCTCACTCATGTAATCCCAGCACTTTGTGAGGCCAAGGCAGGCGGATTGCCTGAGGTCAGGAGTTCGAGACCAGCCTGGCCAACATGGTGAAACCCTGTCTCTACTAAAAATGCAAAAAAAATTAGCTGGGCATGGTGGCATGTGCCTGTAATCCCAGCTACTTGGGAGGGTGAGGCAGCTTGAACCTGGGAGGTGGAGGTTGTAGTGAGCCAAGGTCGTGCCACTGCACTCTAGCCTGGGTGACAGAACGAGACTGTCTCAAAAAAAAATAATCAATAAAATAAAATGTCCCACTATTAGACACAGAACCTTTTTCTCAGAAGAAGACAATCATCCGTTTTTCTCTGCTGCTCTGTTACAATTTGGAGGCAGAGTGAGGCCTCCTAAGTACAGTTCTAATGACACTGGTCATCACAGTTGCTGTGTTCATTTTGGGATCCATTGCTTTTATTATGCCTGACTCCCCATCAGCCAAGAGCTCAGACAGCTCTGTGTGGTCCTTCTCCTTGACCGTGTGGATTAAGCAAGGGTCTTGGGTTCCCCTGGGGTCTGGGGTTGTGGTCCTAAGCATGGGCTATGTTGCTCTCCCCTGCAGGAACCGTCAATGGGAAATACTGCTGTCCTCAGCTCTTCATCAACCACAGGTGTTTCTCAGGCCCTTACCTGAACAAAGGAAGGATCGCCGAGCTACCTCAGTCGGTGGGACCAGGCAAATGCGTGCTGGTTCTTAAAGAGGTAAAGCCATGCACAGTCACCTTGGCTTACTTTAACAGGATTTTTTAAAAAGCTGTGGGCCCAGTTTCTGAAGGAGGGACTAGACATCAGAAGCAATTCAGTTAACATTTACCAAGACCTTTCTCTCCATCCTGGGGGCTGAAGCCAGAGATACAAAGATGGAAAAATGATGCTCTGAAAGGTTCCCCATCCGGTGGGAGGGATGTACATCTGCCTCCCCTCGAATTAAAGGAAAATGTGGCACTAGATTTGAATGAAGTGCTTTGGGAAGACAGAGGGAAGACTGTGTTTGGAGCGAGGACCTAGGACTGGAGTTGAGGTTTCCAGAGAGGTAAACCAGCTTGGAAAAGCACAGAGGACGTTGTAAGGCAGCGTACAGTATTATCACTGAGAATGGTGCCCCTTGGCCAGGTCGTGGTGCTGTGTCATCTTTTTTTTTTTTAATCCATCTCTTCCCGGCACCTGGTACTTGCACACGGGAGGTAACGGTGAGTATTTTGAAGTGTGCAGGTGCTTTGATGAGGGTTGTGTTATGGGTCTCATCCAGGCCTATCACCTGGAGGCTATGGCTCCCCATTTCTCCTGCTGCCTTTGGGTGATGACCTGCAGAGAGAGGTGAATCCTGAGACTGTTGATTAAGGCTTCTTCTCCATTGCATTTTTCTAGCATAGCCTCAGACAGTGCTTGGAGACAGATTGGAAATTTGGAATAGTTTCCAAACTCTCCCTGAAACTCTATCTCTGCTCTTTTCTTACGCACATCAGTGCTTTCTCTGAAGAAAGGGGATACCAAATGGATATTCTTTATTGCCACTGTACCAAGATGAATGTTTCTTAAAATTCTGCAGGCACAGCCGGGTGCAGTGGCTCACGCCTGTAATCCCAGCACTTTGGGAGGCCAAGGCGGGTGGATCATGAGGTCAGGAGTTCAAGACCAGCCTGGCCAAGATAGTGAAACCCCGTCTCTAAAAAAAAAAAAAAAAAAAAAAAATTCTGCAGGCACAGCAATCCATTGATCCATTGAACAAATGTTTGCTAGGCAACTTTAAGGAGCCAGGCATCATCGGAAGCATTGGGTTAAAAAAGGAGCAGGCTCTGCCTTCTGCCTGTTGGGGTTTCCTGCTCTTGTTGGGGAGATGATATAACCCTCAGCTTGATGTGCAATTGGAGGTTCAAGAGAGAGAGACAGGAGCACAGTGCCCTGGGAACAGAATGGAGGAGAGAAGAAATAAATGGCAAGTGACATTTGATCTGGCTTAGGCAGAGCGCATAGGACCTTGATTGCACAACATGGGAATGGCCGCACAGGTGGGCATTCAAGGTGTGTTCCAGAAAGGGGAGTCAGGAACTTAGAGTGGAGATAAACAGTGGCATAAAAGGGTACATTAGATTTTGAGAAGAAAAACAGAAGAAGCTGACCTGCCCTGATGATTCAATGTGAGGTTAGACGGAGCAAATTGGACGGGGACTGCTTGTGAAAGGCCTTCTCTGATATTTTAAGTGGTTTGGACTTGAATCTATGGCTGGGGCACCCTCGGAGGAATGCCAGATTCAAGCTTTCCCTCTACACGAGAGCCTCTGTGTGGTTTCAAATATCATTTCACTTAATGAGAAAGAGGCCGTTGAGCAAAGTCAGAGGGCATTTTTGCTTCCTGGTCATCAGTGGTATTTGTAGTTAAATACGTTTATATTAGAAAAAACATCTGCTTGAGAGAGGAAGCCGGGGTTACAGTTTAGAAGAAACCTGTCAGAAATCGATGAGGCTATTGTTGTGGTCATGTATTCGGGAACATGTAGAATGTTTAGCAGGTAGTCTCTGCCCCACACCAGCATCCAGTCGAGTTGGAAAGATGAGTAGGTCAATAGAATGTAGCCACGTGGTCCCGGGTTCTGGGGCAAGACCTGGCACGCACACTGTGAGATCATACCGTAGGCACCTGCGGTCTGTGGGGACCGCAGAACCGGCAGCCTGTCTCAGATAGGGAAAGGAGCAAGAACAAAGCTGGGGCATTCAGGGTGCAGGGGACGAAGGAATGAAGAGGAGAGGATGCTCACAGTGCCCGGAATGTGCAGACCACGTGGGATGGACCCAGAAAGGGCCCTGTTCGTGTTGAGAGTCTCATGCAGGCCTGGCCGTGGTACCACGCCCTTCAAACACATTTTCATTTAGTGGCAGAGTAGAGCTGCCTTCATCGTAAATAGCTCATTTCTGCATTTGGCATCGTGTCTTGAAATCAAACAGTATGCATCTCACTCAGCCTAAGTGGTAAGTAGATTCCATACATGAGAAATTTACAGCTAAAGAAAATGGCTATTGAGTTGGGAGGGCCACACCCTGGGAAGAGCTCTGCAGTGTGGTTCAGCGGCAGGACGGCCGGTTAACTCTAAGCACATAAGTTGGCACAGATCCAAGATCCTTGCAGATATTAAACTCAGTCCAAACAAATCAAGCCAAGATTACACGTACGAATTTCTGCCACCATTGGAAATAGGACCCTAAAGAGAGAATTGACTTTCTTCCGTCTGCTGCAGCTGTCAGTCTGTGAATGGATTCTCACTAGGGCGATGTTTTCTGCCTGTATCTGTGCCTGTTTTTGTTGTCAGTGATAGGATGGGGACACAAAAACTGATAAAAGTAGGGAGAGCCAATGGGCTTCTTTGAAGCTGCCTCCAAGCCTGTTTCACGTGGCATGTTCTGTTGTTGAAATGAGATCTTCCTTTATCTGCCGGCTCTGTTAACAAGCAAGATGACCTTGGCTTCAGCCTTCCTTGAGGGGCTGGCTGTTTTACTTTACTAAATGATTTTTTAAAGTCAAAAGTAGTTATCCCTGATCAATTCTCCGATAGGTGCCAGCAACTAAATTTAAAAGCTAGGCCAGAGCAGTTTTCTAATGACAAAACTAACTTTTTGCTGATTTGAAAAACACATATGGCAGGAAGAAAGAAACAAAACAAAAACGTGAGTTCCGTGAGTGCAAAAGAAAAATGTAAGTTCCACCAAGCTAATATTTGTGCTAATGCTCCTCTTTCAGTACCAGAACCTCTGTGGCTTCAAATTTCATCTTAGTTAAAGAGAACGAGGTAACATTTTGGGAAGCTAAGGTGGGCAGATCACAAAGTCAAGAGATAGAGACCATACTGGCCAACATGGTGAAACCCCGTCTCTGTTAAAAATATAAACATTAGGCTGGGCGCGTTGGCTCACGCCTGTAATCCCAGCACTTTGGGAGGCCGAGGCGGGTGGATCATAAGGTCAAGAGATCGAGACCATCCTGGTCAACATGGTGAAACCCCATCTCTACTAAAAATAAAAAAAAAAAATTTGCTGGGCATGGTGGCGCGCGCCTGTAGTCCCAGCTACTTGGGAGGCTGAGGCAGGAGAATTGCTTGAACCCAGGAGGCGGAGGTTGCAGTGAGCTGAGATTGTGCCATTGCCCTCCAGCCTGGGTAACAAGAGCAAAACTCCATCTCGAAAAAATATATATACATATACATAAACATTAGCTGGGCATGGTGATTCGCACCTGTAGTCCCAGCTACTTGGGAAGCTGAGGCAGGAGAATCGCTTAAATCCAGGAGGCAGAGGTTGCAGTGAGCTGAGATTGTGGCACTGTACTCCACCCTGGAGACAGAGGGAGACTCTATCTCAGACAAAACGAGAGAGAGAGAGAGAGAGAGAACGAAAAGAAGCCAAGACAGGGTGAGTTGGATGGAACTCGAACACTTGTGTATTTAGAAGATGTGCAGTGACAGCGGTTTACCCCTATCTGTTCTGCTAGAAATAGGCAGTGTCTGGGGGTGTGGATGCAGACAGGGTATTCAGCATGTCTTCAGCAACGTTCAGTGCAGGCTGCAAAGTCCAGTTCTGGGCTCCGTCTGAGTGGGCTGCTTTATGAGAGAGGACGAAGTTTCTGGCAAAAGTGGTCTGTAATGCATGTCTCTACTCTCTTCATGAATATTAGAGTTAAGTGGAGTTTTGAGGGACCAAAACTCTCCGGCCTCAATTCAAGGGGGGTGCAGCGAGGGGAGGTAGGGGACCTGGGAGCAGCTGGACCCAGAGTCAGTCAATGATTCATTCAGGTCCAGGCATACCCCATAAGCAAACTCAGAACAGAGCAGGCCTTGGCATGGAGGGGCAGGCCCAGTGGCGACCACCCTCATGTGCTGGGCCTTTTACAGCATGCCTGTGCCTAGTTGCAGGGAAGGTGGGACTTGTAAGGCACAGGCAGTAGTGATGGTGTTTATCCTATCACATTTCCATGCTCAGTAGGGTCATTGTCCATTGGGATCATCTTTTTGTATCCCAAATCCTTCTATCCTGTGCCTCCCCCAGTGTGCCAGGGTCCTCAAAAGAGAGATAAACTATGGATCTGTGTTGTATCAAGAGACTGGTCGCATCCTATGACCAAAAGACTCTTGTCAGCTGCTGTGTTCCTTGTGCATTGCACAAGGAGTTCAGGAAATTTTTGCCTTGTAACTTACACACCATCTCATGAATCATCAGGCCTTTAGTTCTCACTTTATAGACAGTGTGTCAGGCTGGTGTCTGTGTGTGAAAGAGAAATCAAATGAGTGAGCCAGCCTGGGCACAAGAGACCAATGGGGAGTGAACAACTAATGTATTTACTCGTGTCCATGGGTCCTGGAGTGACCGTTTCAGACACAGACCCATGATGAAGGGGAGAGCAGACCAGCCAAGCACTCCTGGCAAAAATGACTCTGAAAACACCCGCCTGGGCAGGGCGATGGAGCTTCTGCCTTCACAGAAACTCCAGACATCCTGGGGACAGCGTCCTTGGAGAAAATCCCAGATAGCTCTCGGAGACTTGGGGAGCCTTGTGGTTTTACTTAGAATTGATTTGGCTCAGAATACCTCAGTTACATTAGGTCACTTCTGTTTTTCAGAAAAAAAGAGAAACATGCCTTTCAGGTGGGGCTTCTGTGGGAGTCCCTTTGTGGGTTTTCTGCAACAGTTTCATGGGTGCTGAGCAGGCAGGGGCT